CACCGCTCAAGTTTAGGTACTTGTATCATTTTACCATGCCTTTCTATGCCTTTTGCCGCCTAGTTCTAGAACCACTAATTAATGACTTCCTTCATAACTTACGTAGGATTGTCCACCCCGAAAAAATTTCGATTTGTGGAATAAGTGATAATTACTTGGGGCAAAGTCCGTGCTGTGAGGTGCATGTGGTAACGTTTCCCACTGAAACTGCCGGAGCAAGTCCTGTGTCACTCCTGGTGCATGCGGAAGTGCATTATGGTGAAAGATGATGACTCTACTTGTTAGCTTTTTTTTGTCGTTTGTCAAAGCCGTTGAAGCGTCTGGCAGTAGGTCACTGCGTTTATGGACTCAGCTCTTGGCATGTGGTCGAAAAGAAGCTCACCTTACAAAACGAAAACCTCGACCATGAGCTTAAAATTTATACGGCTTTTTTCGGTTTTTAAAATGAAATGTCAAGAATATCAAATATTAATTAAATAAATAAAATTTATTGCCGGGTCTCAACGACAAGATCTTTTATTTATTTAATTATTAGAATGTAACTACTTCACCAGCGATCTTATTAATAAAGTCAAGAATATCGTCTAAACATACTTAACATGCACATTTCAATAGTGTAGGAAATGAGGCTCTACCTTGCTGCATAAATAAAATTTTTAAGAAAATCAAATATTTATTGTATATTTTTGTAATTAATTTCTTAAAATGATGTATTGTATTTAGTTATTGTTTATTTTTGTTTCAGGGCAATTTTACTGGCACTAGTATGAACCCAGCCCGTTCCTTAGGACCTGCTATTTGGGAAGGAAACTGGGAAAGACACTGGGTGTGTATATTACGTTATATTATGTTACATTATATTTTACAGTATTATAGTATATTACATTACATATAATAATAATAATTATAATTTTAATAATATAATTATATAATAAATAATAATAATTATTATACTATATAAATATATATTATTATTATTATTATTATTATTATTATTATTATTATTATTATTATTATTCGCGTTTGGGAAACTAATGATCATGCAACACATTTCTCTTTCCGAGACTCAGTTGTACATTATATTATACTATATTTTATATTATATTTATTATTATATTTTACTATTATATTATATTATTAACTTTAACTTTAGTAATTACAATAATTTGAATATGGCAAAATTTGGTGAAATATAACAATATATATTAATTGAAAAATATATGCGAAACACATTAATATAAATTCAAAATAACAGTAAAAACAGTAGAAGAAGAATTAAATAATATAGAAATTACATCTCTAGCTTTACGTTTCAAATTAAAATGTTTACATTTTTACAAGACACTTCGAAATACCAAGCTTATACCAAGCTTCAGAATTAGTTTAGCTTTAATTTGAATATTTTAAAGTAAAATTATAAACATCCATAATAACGAAACCTCTTTAATAAACACCAAGATGAGATTTCTAGAACTTTTAACGCATGTTAATATTTTTACAGTAATAAAGTAAACTATTTCCAACATAATTTCAGAGGTCACTATACCTTATTCCTGCGTACACACATGAACGAAAATTGGATGAATTAAGAATATTGACTGTCAATAAAATCGATATTTCTAATATGTTTAATATAATAGTGGCTTAAAAGAAAGAATATTTTTGAATAAACTGAGAGCATTTAATTACAATCAAGTGCAAGATGCATAATTCCAAATTTTGGTGATTATGTTTTCATTTATTATCAATGGAGAAAACCAAATAAACTACACCAGTATTAAAGCAGCGATGCTCCAACAGCACATACTTTTTCGCATTATTTCAAAATGTGCAATTTTCTAAAATCCAGAGAGTCGAACGAAGAAACGAGACACGTGTCTTTCATTTAAAGATTTCTTTTTGGGGTTGAAGCCCACCGCTATAGAGAGTTGTTTTCGTTGTTCCAGGTGTATTGGGCGGCGCCTTTGACCGCGTCGGTGTTCGCGACGCTCTTCTACTCGTACGTGCTGAACACGGACTACTCGCGCAAGGAGAGCGCGGAGGAAGTGAGCCTGACGGCAATCAAGGGCGACGGCCAGAGTGCCAGTCGGAACGCCGCCGAACCGGACGAGTAGACTCGGGATTCTTGATCTCGTTGCGCTAGAATGACACGTCATCCGGACGCTTCCGAATCGTCAGATTCTTTTGTTTGGGCATTTATTCGAATAACGCTGGGCACAGATCCACTTAATTTCATTTTTTTCTCTTTATCGAAAAGTGGATAATTTAAGACATGCGTTATTTTAATATGTTATAAAATATAAAAGATTAATAAAAATTTTTCGTTTTTAAAACTTTAGTAGCTTTCTACTTTTGGTCAATTTTACATATTATAATCGAGTAACAGACGTTAATCATAATGTAAATGTGATGATTGATGCCACTGTTCTTATTATTGCAAATTAAGAAAATTCTTTTTTAACGTCCATATGAGAATTCAAAGAGTAATATTATTCACGTATACTATTTCAAAAAATATAGTGTACAACTATATAGGTTATGATTGCCATCGTCATATTATACAAATGTGAACGCTCTTTTTAAACAATTCTTTTTAATGTTCTCGTTTTCTTGTATATTTAATGCTCACAGCTAATTTTTCATAGGAAAGTCTAAGTGTTTTTGTGCCGGCGTTTTGGTACACGATATAATGCTTGAACAAAGTCTTGTATATGTGGAAACGGATGGATGTCATTGCTTGTCATTCTTCTCGAGACAATTGAATTCTATCCCAAGACTTGTCTGGCAACTGGGCTAGTCGCTACTCATCCAAACCACCCGAGTAAATGCGTTCATTTGTTTATGTTTACTGTACCCTTACCCATAGTTCAGTGTATAAATGAGTTACCGTGTGGAAGATTCTTGAGATCTGCTTGACAAAAACAATAAACAAAAAATGCAAGCTCTCCATACCGAATATTTATGAGAGATATTCTATTCATATTCTTGAATATTTCTCAGCAGGTCTAGTTATTTCAGTCTTATTTGAGAGCTATGGAAACTTCTAGATGAATTTATTTCGTAGTATTCTCAATTCCGTCAGCAAATTATTATTTGTTCGCTTTGCCGACTAACAGTAATGCTTTTGCAGTAGATGAGAAGTATCGTTGTAAATACTGTAAGTAGACATTCAATCCCAATTCTATACTCTGGCGTTTCTAGTGTCAGATATTTTGTACTTTGGGATTATATTCTTCCATGATTCGTGCTTCTCATTTAAATAAGCAAGTGTAAATAAATTTGCAACGCAAATACGTTTACTAACAGGACGTTTGTTAGTCGGGAAAGCGAGATTATTTTCAAACATCCAATCACCAACGAATCGAAGGATAACACATATTGTGTTGTAATATAGTTTTACTGTACTATAATAGTCGCATTTACTCGATACTTCTTTATATAAAATATGTGCATACATAAATATAGCAATATAAATACATATAATTACAAAGTTGGCCAACAAACGGCTGTTTTATTCTGGTCATTCAACTGAGATTTCCATTGACAAGTACACGTAGTTATTATTTAGATTTAAGTACAAAAGTTTTCTTAGAAACTACATGAAGAGAGGGAAAATATTAAAAACTAAAAATACTGAAATGATTTGTTCTATTGTCTTTTTCAAATTAATGTGTACAGTAAAGTCGAGAATGAGAACATTAAGGGCCGCTGTGTTGAAAGTTAATGGACGAATAACCATTGAATAGATGTGAAAGCGAGCTTATGTGTAGTGTGCAAGCATATGTATTTTTATTAAAATCTATTTCAGATGTTCTAATTGTTTTCTTTCACTGTACTTTTTAACAGTTATTTATTTAACAGTTATACAATATTATACAGTTATAACATTTTTCCGTTCCCGAAACAGAAATAACTTTCATTTACTATACTATTATTTTTTTTCTTCACTGTTCCATGTTTTCCCAATCGCTTTTTTAAAATTTATTTCTTTCATAATTGTATTTATTCCATTCATCCATGTGATTTCTGATCTTCCCTCTTCCATATCGACATCCGTTCTAAAATCCTAAAAGGAATTATCACTTTGTCCATGCTTCAAATATCCCTATAGCTTTCCATCTGTGTTTTTTTTAAAGTACAATAATGTGTAATTCACTTCCATTATTCACTCTTCTCGATATCATGATATAAATTAAATGAAGATATTACAATAAGAATGTTAATTAACATGCGATATGGTCACTCGAGGAATGAAAAGAATTGTGCTACAATCGCAGTTTCTGAATTCCGTAACCAAATGAAGAAACCAATTGAAAAAAATGTTTCTTAGTCCAAAATATATTATGATCTGCTTTAAAAAATATGTACTTTGTAGTGGAGTGACAAACAGGTCATTACTACATTCATTGAGAATACGTATGTGCCATAGAATTAAATGTACACAGAAAATACGTTATCATTCGTGAATTTTTCAGATGCCCTAAGGGCGAAACTTGTATCAAACTGCTTAATGTGGTTTACTAGATACCATGAGTTTACGCGGCTCAAGAAGATTTTCAAGGTCAGCCCACTGGTCACTTTCATCTCATCAATCATCTTCCCTTTTTTATTAAATAGTAGTAATTGTTTCACATTAGATTATTTCATAACAGTATTATTTCAGTGTCCTATGATTTCATTACAGAAAGAGTACATTGCTGAAACAGCTTGGAAACACCGAAATCAAAAAACAAATTCAATAAAAACTGAAAACAATCATCTTATACTAAAACTTTTAAATTATACCTATATTTTAGAGATAGTATGTTGTCAGAAAGGCTAGATGACGCACTACATAAGCAAGTGTAATTAAACTGATGTGTTCATTCACATCCGCTTAGTTTATTTAAATGGCGTGTAACATGTTTTCGGTGTTTTTGTAGTCAAAATTGTAAGTAAAAATTCGAATTACAAATTGTTTCGTAAAACAAATATTGGCGATCCAACTCAAAAAGATATTTTGTAGGCAGCTTTGAGTTGTTGTTTGCAGTATTTGTGAATTTTGTCATCATGATTAGCATGGTCTTTATTTGCTCGTTTAATGTTTACTTTCTAGTAACCTATGCATTCGAGGTAATACCGAGTGTTTATTTTATCTTTCGCCGA